AGATTTTAATGTATCAGATTGTAATGTACTACATCTATATAATACAGTTGAAATTATTACCACAGTAGTATATCTTGTGTCACAGAGGAGACCTGGGGTCAATTACAATTGTAATTGTAAAAAGAAGGATCACTTACAATTGCCATTACGTAATTGAGCTTCAACTTAGTGAAATTGTAATTTTAATTTCATGTTGAGTTAACTCACATGTAACTACAGAATATACAGATTCACAAAGAAATGTTCTTAATGTACTGTAGTATCTATTTATGTGTATAGTGATACATATGTGATAACTTAAAGTACCAAAATAACTACATGTACATGTACCTAACGTAAATTTCAAGTCACATAAGCACAATGATAGTATAATGTTACAATACATTATTTATTAATTGAAATTGTAATTGAAACTACACTATCATGGTGTAATTGTAATTGAGCTTTTGTAATTGACCCCAGGCCTGTGACATGCATGTTTTCATTTTCATTTATTTAATTAACAAGTTCTTTGATTGACATCTGAGATGTGATCATCAAAATTAGATCCTTACTTGACAAGTTAATTATTAAGTGTTGAGTGATTTATACAACCACTTCCTTCACACTATCCATACATAGCAGTAGCATACAGCATTCTATTGTAGCCTCTATATTATGGACACTTTGGGTCAAGAAGTGTCTCTGTTATACAGAGGTGTCCTTTATGTGGAGGTTATTTTATGCAGTAAGGAATATAATTGGTACACTAGGTGCTGTCCGTTAAATGGAGGTGTACGCTATAGAGAGTGTCCATTAAGAGAGACTATACTGTAACAATATGTACATGTAGGAGGATATTTACATATAATCTAATTGTTACATAAATGTAAATATATACATGTACATGTATAATAGGTTTTCATTAAGGAATTTGACACATCAAATTTGGCTTCAAATTTACAAAACAATTGGTTTTTCCCACTAAAATAGGCAAAGGCAAATTAACATACATGTATTATTTTTGTGAATTTCTCTTGATGAAATTAAAATAAACTAAAGACATATTATTATATTTGTGGACTAACGGAACCAATTGCATGCTAATATGACATACACTAGTACATTAATATGTATACAGTATTAAGACGGATTTACAATATGATGTTAGGCCAGCGTACCGTCAATTTTTAATCAAAAGCGTGGGTGATTTGACCTTTTGACGCATGCTTTCCACTGAAATAGAACCAGATTCTATTCTGGCATCAATGTAATGTCAGGACTAGCGTAATATTGTAAATCCGCCTTTATCATTCCTCTCTCAATGCATTTATTAAGGATTACTTTTGCTAGTGTGACAAGGTCTTAAGTGACACTGTTCTGTTGTTTTATCTCATTCACTAGAAATGTTGTAAATTAGTTTGATCTAGTGTACATGAACATATATGCTATTTTATGATTATTGCTACCTTATGATTATTTGCTTGCATTGTTCCTATCACATTATCAGTTTGTGTCAATAAGCTCATGAATAAATTGAATATTGTTTGGTGTACATGTACATGTATATTGTGTAGTATGTAACTGTGTAAAAA